TATCAGGCAAAAGTTGGATACACAGAATTGACACCAAGAAATTCCTAAGACAGAATATGGATATTTGGTGAGGATTTTTAGCTTGTCCCCAGACCTTATACGACACTCTAGGGTATGTTCCTCTGCTTTCTTAAGCTATTTCATTGATAGTAGTGGCTTCCTTTGTACCTTATTTTTGCATAAGGTATATCTGCCTTCAAAAGTATATATAACACATACAGAAAAACTCTGGAAAGTTAAACATCAATGTTAATGGCAGTTATTTATAAGAATGGGATTTGTGATTTTTTTTTTTTTTTGCTTATTTGTATATACTGACTTTCCTAAAATAAACAAGCATGCATTATATTTGTAATTCCTTTGTTTCTGCACTACATCACAGTACAAACCTTTTTTTTTTTTTAACAAAACCAACCTCAAAAGCCCACAGACCTTAGTTTGATCTTGAATCCAAAAAACTGAAGCCCAAATCACGTACAAGTCCCAGAATACCATCTTGTGATGGAGTTGCAATCATAGCAACTGTGTTTTCTGTTAGCTGGATCTGAGAACATGTAAAGCTTGGTGTGACTATAAAGCAATCCTGAGTTTTCATCCTACAAACACCCAAAACTTATACATTCAGGAAGTTTCGTCTTTCAAAGAAGCTACTCTGCTCGTATCAGTTTTGGAGTTCCTCTGACAAAACAGTCTTCAGAGCTGGTTGAGTAATGCCAAAAGAAAATCAATTTCATTATAATTCATAAAAACTCCTACTTAGTCCACAATCTTACTCTTCTTTTTGCTCCTTGTCTCACTTCCTTCTTTAGCTAAGTTTTATCCCTCCGTTCTTTGTACTCTTTATTTTTACTGCTACTGTGTTTGACTAAGACTTTAAGGACCTGTTGTTGAAAACCTGGGGAAAAGAGTGTGGGAAAGTGTTCTGAGGCTTAATAAAGACTAGGACTTGGGGAGGGGAACTGGGAGGTGGCTGGACAGTTTGATTGTGAGGCCCAAAGGTAAGGTGACATTATAATTTATCACCCCATTCTGGAATACTTTTGAGAGTGAAAAGGGACATGATTAACAATTATGCCAGGTTAACCAAGATACACAGTTGCCCTGTGGATTTAGGGAGCAAGTCAGGGAAGGCATCTGACTAATATCTGTCCACTTGGGCTGCCTTTAGGGCAGAGATGGGTGTAACTGACCTGGGGCCATAAATGTGAATTGCTGGATATAGAGGATAGCTTCTATTTGAGGATAGAGCTGTCATTACATTTGATCATTGATTCATGTTTAATTTAAGGAACCCTCATTCAGTAAGAAACAGTTACATTGAATTTCTTGGAATTACTTCTTATAGGTTATTAAGATTTTATGACCACTTTACACACTTGTGGATACTCCTTGGAAATAAAAAATATTCTCTAGGTATTGTAACAGTACCACCCACGTGCCTATTTTCTGTCACCGTCTAGGACTCCATTATAACCCTGGGATTTTCACATCTCCTCTCCTCAAAAGACTAATAAAAGATTAAACAACCAACAAAATCCCTCTAATTGTGTGATCATTCAGTCTAAGTTGTTCCTTCAGTCACTGCCCTATAGTCTGTTCCTTTGTCTTGTGTTTCCCAACTTTGGAAAAGCTACAAATTCATTGAGTTTGTTGGCTTTTCTACTGCGGTTGTTTATTGTGCCAAATCTCCCTCATCCCCGTGGGAATCGGCCTATAACACAAGTGACCCCACCATATATGTTAAGTATTGCTTTGTTTTTTAAGCCGCAGTTCGTAACACACATTTTACCCAACTCAAGAAGAAATCTATAAACTCCCTCTTCTAATAATTTCCAAGCTAACTCTCCTATCTATGGCACATACTTCTAAGAGAATGCCAGTACAGCAGAAATCATTTCACAAAAATTTATTGAGCTCCTCTTACTAGCAGGGACACTAGTGAAATACAGTCGCAATCACACATTTCCTGACCTCAAGGCTCCCACGTTCTTGCAGTAGGTGTCAAAAAATAGTCACAGTAGATTGTGCTAAATACTGGAGCAGAGGAACATATGCACAATGTTGGAACAATGATGAAACAGAGAGACCTGGGAGATCAAAAAGTTTGGTTGGCAGGGAGTTAGAAAAGGCCTCCTTTAGGAAATGCTTGTGTTGGGTCTGGAAGATTGAGTAGGAATTTTCTAGGGGGAAAGAAAGAAAAATAAAAAATTTTGAGCCTCTTCTATGGGTCAGATATATAGATTATTTAATATGCTCCACACACAAAACTTATCAGATGGTTTTTTATTATTCCAGTTTTTACAGAGTCAAAAAAAAAAAAAGATGAAGCCGCTTGTTCAAGGTTATATAGTGAGTGAGCTATGGACACTGAAGATTCAAACTCTGTATGTCTGAATCCAAGATTGTCTGTGTTCTTTCCATGGCACCATACTACTTTCCAGCAGGGCAGAAGGGCATATGATTAGTAATTTTTAATGCTGTCTGATGCCATCTATATGAAGTTCAAGGACAGGCAAAACTTACCTATGAGGAGAGAGGTCAGAATAGCGACTACATGTGGCAGAAATGGTATCTAGGGAGCAGGAGGGGGATTTTTGGGGTGGTGGGCAGCTTTCACAGGTGTATATACATCTAAAAATTCATTGAGCTGTACATATAAGATTTGTGCACTTTACTCTCTGTTAATTATACCTCAAAATGTAAATAAAAACAAATTTGTTATGTGCTATGGCTTTTATAGGTCAAGAAAGCTGATCTCTGGATTCTCATAATGCCTTTTTTTGATTAACAGTCTCCTTATTTTAAATACTTATTTTTTCCTGAATAAAATGAATTACAGGTAATGACAGTGCATCAATCTTGCCTCTCTTGAGCATAGGTCTTTACTATAATCTGCTTCCTAACAATCCTGACTGTCAAGATCATAAAACTGTGGATTTTAAGAGATGAAGAGTTGCTGGGCGCCTGGGTGGGTCAGGTCATGATCCCGGAGTTCTGGGATTGAGCCCAGCATTGGGCTCCCTGCTCAGTAGGGAGCTTGCTTCTCCCTCTCCCGCTCCCCCTGATTGTGCTCTCTCTCTCTGTCAAGTAAATGAATACAATCTTTAAAAAAAAGAGAGAGAGAGATGAAGAATTGCTTAGAGACTCCTATAGGGGCTGCCACATGGATCTTTTGGAGACTGATGAAAGCAAAACTATAGACCTCATCTCCAGAAATGTACATATGCACAACATTTTGAGATTATCACACCATTTAGGACCCACTTAGCCCTAGGATCTCAATTCAGATCCTCTGAGCTAACCTAATCCTTTTCCTACGAGGAACAAAATAGGCCCAAGGAGGGAAAGCAGCCTATGTAGGGGCTGAGGGAAGACAGAACCCATGGCTTCTGTTGCTCAGACATTTATGCTATTCACCCCACTGCCTCTTTAGATATCATTAGATTTCCTTTGCCCCCAAACCTCCGTGTGTGGAGCCTTTGAGATTGGAAGAACTTCCATAATACCTTGTATCCTTCCCTTTGTAACTGGAATCATATCAGAAGCTAGCCAAAGTTTACCTTGTACTTACTGGAGAACAATAGGTACAAAGCTGAGTTGGGGACATTTATTTCTCTTTTTTCACAGACTGCCTCAAAACCCAGAACTGAAGTTAAAATTAAAATGGCTGGTGATAAAAGTTTTTACCTTTATTTTCTTTCTTTCTTTGTTTTAGAGAAATCAACTCTAAGGCATAGTCTATATTTAGACTCTGAAACTTAAAACTTTATTCTGCATTGCTCTTTATAACACCTAAAAGATCCCATTTGAACTTACTCTGCTCTGTAAACCTTTCAATGATCTCTGACCAAAAACAATAAAATTCCATCCTGACCCAGGAAATTTGTCTGATTTGTGCCCACTCAGTTTTTCAGTTTGGAACAGGATTCTTACTCCCAATCCAAATAGAAGCTGTGAGAAGAGAAAGAGGACCCAAAAAGTCTTTTCTTCTGTGTGAAAAGGCTTGATCCTAAGTGGAGCAATCAATGAAAGAAAAAGGCTCAAGCTGCAGCCTACAAATTTCTTTGGGTTTAGTGTGCTCAGGCTGAGGTACAGAAATTACATAGACCTGCAGACAGACATGGCATAGAAGCCACGAGTTATATGCATTCTAGCCATAAAGGTTTTCCTGGGTACTTGCTAAGCTATTCCTTCTGTACAATCATCTGCTTTTCTACCCACATGGATGTAAGCTCATATTTATTGAACACTTTACCCTATGTGGCAGCTACTGTCTAAACGCATTATATTATTTAATTTAATCTTCACAACTCTTTAAGGTCATCTTATTACTATGCCCATTTTAAAAATAAGCAAACAGGTTTTCAAGGGCCAAGTAACTTGGCCAAGCTCACAGAACTTGTAAGTCACGAAATTGAGCATCAGATAAAAATACCTGGCTTCGGTAGCTGGGTTTGTTCGTCCTGCTCTGGTGAAATAAATAAGTAGGCATGCACTGAAGACTGAGAAATGCATACTGTAGGTTGGTTCCTCAAGGCAAACATTTTTCTAGGTACCATATTTTTTTTTTCACCCAAATCTGCAGCCTTTCTCATTGATGCAAGCCGGATGGACACATGGACTGGACAGAGAATTTCTGGCAGTAACAAGGCCGACGGGAAGAGACAGGGCGGGAGAAAGGTGGGGGCATGTTTTCGGAGGGGCAGAGGAAGGCGCCCGCGGGGTTCTCCCCTCCCGGCAGCCACCGCTAGAACCGAGGAGCCGTTGGGCCCGCAGCGGACCGCCACAGCGCCGCGGCCGGTCCCCAGCGCCGTGCGGCCCAATCAGCGGCGCGGCCTGGCGCCCCGCCCCTCCGCCGGGCCATATAGGCCTCGGCCTGGCCAACCCCATCACCGCAGTTGTCGCTCAGGCGCCAAGCTGCGCGAGCCCGAGTAACGGCGGCCACCGCCCCATGCGCGTCGCGTTCCCTCCTCCCCACGTACGCCGCGCCGCCAGTCCGCAGCCGCCCGCGGAGCGCAGCCGCGGGCCTGAGCCCCCGCCGGCCTCCTTCTACCGCTCTCTGTGTCCGCGGCGGGCCGGAGCGATGCGGCTGGGCCCGAGGCCCGCGGCGTTGGGGCTGCTGCTGCTGTGCGCTGCGGTAGCCAGCGCCGGGGACGCCGAGGAGCTGCACTACCCGCAGGGCGAGCACCGCAGCGACTACGACCGTGAGGCGCTGTTGGGCGGCCAGGTGAGGTGGCCAGGCTCGGGGCTGGGAGGGTCGGGCCTCGAACCGCGGCTTCCGCGGGCTTTGTCCCGGGACAAAGAGGGGCGGCCAGGCTAGGCCTGGCCCGGGCGGCCTGACCATGGGGGACCCCGAGGCCTCTACGCCTGAGGAAATAGCGCGGCCCGGGAGCCGGATCCCTTCCACCCTCCCGACACGGGGCATGGTCACTGAGGGTGTGTAGGAGGCAAGGGCCTTGGAGAACAGGTGTGGGTCACCCCAAAAACCCTGGACAGAGAAGGCTTCTGGTAGCCTTATTTTTTTTCCACCATTTTGCCCCACTGATAGTAATGCTCTATCCCTCTGTGTATCGCTTACCCCCCTGAAGGAAGAAGTCGATGAATATGTTAAACTCTCCCCCGAAGAGCAACACAAAAGACTGAAGTCAATCATAAAGAAAATTGACTTGGACTCAGATGGCTTTCTCACGGAAAGTAAGGACGTCCTACACAACTAACAATGGAGAAGTCCCTTTGTAGGAGACGGAAACACGAACATTTAAGCAGGGCTGTCTGTTGCGTGTAGATTGCTAGTGTTGCAACAAATGAGAGTGTACTGTGAGAAGGGGAAAAAGACATGCTGAGTAGGTTTATATCTGAAAATCTTTAGATAGAGGTCCCAAGTAAAAATCAGGACTTTCTCCAGTAATACATAAACATCGTTGACTCAGTCGATATGTGCAAGTCATACACTGAACAAACACCGTATTCCTCATATGACTTTTATCAGTGTCAACAATATGTCAGAAACCTTCTTATGGCATGACGTGATTTATTGCTCTTTTGATATATGTTTCATTAGGAATTTAAGGATTTGCATCTTTTTTTAAGTGGAAAAAGACCTGTTGCATGTGAATTTATGATAATCACAAATTATTACAGCTGGTAGGGGTCTTAGAATCATCTTGTCCACCTCTCTTTGTAGAGCTGAAGATACTGAAGTCCAGAGGGGTAAGTGCCTTTCTAAAATGAGTGGCAAAGCCAGGACTAGAATCCAAATTTCTTGCTCTTAATTCAGTTTTTAATATCCTTCACTTAAAAAAAAAAAAAAGTCTGAGGGGCACCTGACTGGCTGGAGCATGCAATTCTTGATCTCTGGATCATGAGTACAAGCCCCAGGTTGGGTGTAGAGCTTACTTTAAAAAAAAAAAAAAATCTGAGTGCTCTTAGGTAGTTTCTCCAGTCAGAAATGAAATGCACAGAATATTAAAAGAATATTCAGTTGCTTTGCAACTGTCTCTCCTCATTGCTTAATTCAAGTGGTGAACCGTATCAGCTTTTCAAATTGATCTTCAAAAAAAATTCAGGAGATATTTTGCTATAACTCTTATAGCTTACCATCTAAGGACTGAAGTTGCTGGAGAGAGAATTGCAAACTAATTGGTAAATTTAAGATGCGTTGTCAGTAAAATTGGTGCCCTCGGGAATATTAAGATTTTGGTTTCTCTAAATAAAAACAAAAGCTTTAGACTGTAGTTGTCCACTAAGAATAGGTCTGTCCATCTTTGGTTACACTAGCAAGCACACAGAAAAAATTGATTTGGAAGACTGTGGTACCTGTCTGTAAAGGCCTGTAAATATTCAAATATTTAATAGTAAACTTTAAAAAATTTTAAAGTTAAAAGGAACTTAGTTCAAATCTTCATTTTACATATGAGAGAAAAACTTGAGAGGGCAAACTTGCCCCTTATGACAGAGCTGAAGTGTGACCCCATGTTTCTGGCCCCTTTTCCATTCTGTATTCTATTATGTCACGATGATCTCTTTAAATAAACCAGAAGAAACCCTCATTGTACTTGTAGGACCCTTCAGAGAAGTTCGCTAATTTGCACTTTAAAGTCCAGGACTGGACTCAGGTTCTTGAAAGAGAACAAAATTCAGTGGAAGGAGTTTGGGCTTTGGAACCAAACATAGGTTTGAATCTGGATTCTGCTACTTACCACCTGTGAGTCCTCAATTCCAAATGGCAATTTCTTAAACTGTAAAATAGATTAGATTAGAAATGGAAATGGAAAATGATAAGAATTGCCTTGTTTTGAAGATCAGAGACAACATATATGGAGGACCTGATATATAATAATTGTTCAGTATATGGTTGCTATAATAATTGTAATTCTGCCTTAATTTAGAGTTTCAGGAGAGACAAAGTGTCTTTACTTTTCTATTCACCTGACCTCCCCCAGACCAATAAAGGGGTACCACTCTTTAAACCAAATGGTGTGTAACCTTTAAACCAAATGTTGAACTCTTGCTATCCTTGCAAATATTCATGTTCTTCTCCCTACCACCTTTTTTCTATAATGCAGTGTAGTAAATATCTCTGAATAGATTTTTTAAAGTTGACCTGAATGTGGACATTAGAGATTTAGAAACTTTCCCCCATGTCTTCAGGTACCAAGACAGAGCTGTTGCAAGAAGGGCTTAAGTCATAAATGCTACCCATACTTTTGTTAAAATTTTCTCCAGAAGTTTTATGATGGTTGAAGGACATATACTGTAACAATGTTTCTCAAACTTCAGTCACTTGAATACATTTTCACAATTTAGGCCCTAGCTACTTACCATCTATTATTTCCTTAATATGGTTTTGATTCAACTCAACATAAAATTTATTTTAAAGGTAAACTTTATATTACTTTCATAAATGGAAAACACTTTTTTCTAATACATATTAGAATAAATAGGTCATTATTAACGTATTTGTACCTCCTGAGAGATCTGTGTTAGTTAGCAAACGTTATCTGCAATTTTGTGGATGATAATTTTTAAAAGTCAAGTACTATTTTGGCCAAGTGGTAATTCATTTAACAAATAACTTATTGAGCCAGGTACTTTCTAGGAATTTAGAGTACCTCAATGAACAAAACATACCCAAACTCTACTCAAGGACCTTGCATTCTATTTGGATCACATATTGTTATATTCTTGGACTCCAAACCACTCTCACACCTTCTACTCCTATTTCTATGGATACAACTGGGCTAGTTCTCACTCAGTATTTGAAAACACTCAAGATTTTTGTTTTCTTTTAGAGAAAGTTTAGAAACCTTCACTTCTGTAAATATCAGAATTATTGTCAACATTCATTTGTGTTCTGGGAAATTCTCACAGGCGAACTCAGTTCGTGGATTCAGATGTCTTTTAAACATTATGCTATGCAAGAAGCAAAACAACAGTTTGTTGAATATGACAAAAACAGTGATGGTAGTGTGTCATGGGATGAATACAACATTCAGATGTATGATCGTGTGATCGACTTTGATGAGAACACTGCGCTGGATGATGCAGAAGAGGAGTCTTTTAGGCAGGTGAGTACCAGTGCGCAAGTTGTTCCTTTTGATCATATCAGTTCACTTTTCCTTCCTGCATGAATGAGCACAAGAGGGCCTGAGCTCATAGACTGGGGTTGCCTTGTTCTCTGGGCAATCACCTGTTCCACTTCACTGGTCATTTTGATGATTTCCTTTCTAGCGGGATTTTGACCTCTTATTCTGCACTACCTAAATTATCCTTGCATCTATTTTTCTCAGCGGCATCATTTGTCCTCATTTTGAGTTGCTTTTTAGTGTATTTTGAATATATATCTCAATATTTTATTTTTTGTTATAATTGAACAGTTTTATATCATAGTTACTAAGAATATAGAGGCCGATTCCCATTTTTAAACAGAAGAGTTTTATATAAAATAATACAAAATTTTTTAAATTGTAATAAAATACACATAAAATTTAACCATTTTTAAGTGTGCAGTTCCATAGTGTTAAGTACCTTCAGACTGTTAATACAACCCATCTCCAGAACTCTTTTCACCTTGCAAAACTGAAATTCTAAACCCATTAAACAACTCCCCATTCCTTCGCCTGTAGGCCCCTGGCAACCACCATTCTACTTTCTGTCTCTGAATTTGACTCCTCTTGGTACCTCATATAAGTGGAATCATACATATTTTTGTCTTTTTGTGAGTAGCTTACTTCACTTAACATAATGTTCTCATAATGTTGTGTGTGAGAATTTCCTTTTTAAGACTGAGTAGGGGCGCCTGGGTGGCTCAGTTGGTTAAGCGACTGCCTTCGGCTCAGGTCATGATCCTGGAGTCCCGGGATCGAGTCCCGCATCAGGCTCC